TGAGAAGCCTGCTGAGTGCGGCAGTATGTGTTGCTTGTAATAAAACGTATATAATATGTTAACATTTTTGCAAATACGAGTATTATAAATGCCCATAAATAAAGAAGATTAAAAAATATAAAGAAGATTCGAGTTCTTTTTAAACGGATTCTTGTTTGTGAATGCAGACAAACAGTAATCCCTGGGTTTTAAGAACAGTCATTAATATTTAATTAACCGCTTTAACATTATAACGTAATTTCAGTTTTAGGTACATCTCGTACATATAACTTATTGCGTATTAACTAACACAAAAATAATAAATGAAAAAGTCGGAAAATTTTATCAGGCTTGGAATCTCATGTTAATTTACTACGTACTTACGTACCTATAGGTACCTAATGTATGTGCTCGTACGATACGAGCATGATACTCGTTACCAACTCTACATTTTTATTGACGAAGTTTCTACAATGTTTAAAAACATAAAAACATTTAAAAGACCAACGAGTGTAGAAAGTGCATAATGAGAGAAAGCAGTAAACGTTTTATTATTATAATGTTCAATAAATTGACGGTATTCACATTAAGTCAACATGGAGAAAATTTGTTTAACATTTTATTTGGAAGCTTTATTTAAAGAGGTATTTGGGTTAAATCGTTTTAAAAAAGATACAAGATCTCAACTACGCCGTAGCCAAAAAGGTATTAATTTAGCAAATTGGGTTCACAATGATTGGTAAGATCGTTCCATCGACCAATTATCGGCCCCGGATATTTTTTTATCGAATTTTGATGTTCGATTATCGTGTATTAGCGTACACATATTAAGCGGCCGACGGGCAGGCACGTCGCGCCGCAGAAATAAATAACAGATCCGAGGAGCCGCTCGGAGCAGTCACTGTAACGAGTAACGAGATCACGTCCCGCGCCCGCCGCGCCGATATTTCGACCAGATATGTTTTTATTGCTTGTTGACTCATCGTTAACAGGGTCTTCTATCTTGCAACTATCGATATGTTCCTGATGAGATTTCGGCGCTGAAACGATGGAATGGAGGATTTGAAATCAATATGATATGTGGTCTCGCCGGGGACGCAATGCATCATAAATACTTTCACAGTTTCAGACTTTGTTCAGATAATAGTCACAAAGACGATGCACTTTTGTGCACTCTGATGTTTTATTGATATGAATGAGATTGGAGGAGGACTGGTACTACTGGTAGCATTAGAAAAGTCTAGACTTCGTATTAGGTGGTGAGAGTAGGTTGGAAAAAGAACAAAACAACATTAACGGTAAAATGATTTGAACAATAGCGTCAAATATGAGGTTCCTTTCTTTAGACGAGGAAGTATGTACATACGTTATAAGTATGTAAAGCAAATAGCTTTCGCTGTGTTTCTAGGTTATTTGTTTTTGAACGAAATCCTTTGTAAGGAACGGTGCTGCGGTTTCAATAAAAACAAATATTTCCGTTTGTTTAGTGTACCGTTTACCCGAATATATCAAAGAATGTACATAAGGATGAGTGTGAACGTTGTTTCAGTTGTTTGCACAGACGCGAACCAAACAACTTCTTATTTGATTGAAAGCACTGCGTAAATAGGAATAAATAAAACAATGTGAGAATCCGGTAATTATTTTCAGGCCTTTTTGGAGTAGATTCTTGAGCAAGTAACCCTACTACTGCTTTTGTTATTAATGGTGTTGTCAGAGTCACCCTCTTTATTATCTTTCAAGTTTCCAGATCTTTATATATTCTTGGGTGAGTCTTACAACTTTCAGTACGTGCCTAAATATTTTCATATGAATACTTATGTAGAGAACACTAGTTTCTATTAGGTACACATTAAACATGCTTAGGTTGATTGAGTTTGTGCTAATTTATTATAATAGCTGACATTCACCTGTCAGATTCATAATTTACCGGCAAGACCGGCAATGTTTCGTACTTGAATGACTGAAGTGAAATTTGTAACACGATAATTCTTTCAGTGACGATCCAAATAAAGTAGGCTGGGTAAATATTAATGATGGATGAGCTGTGTGGATGGGCCCTTCGCTGAAACAAAGGGGTACTTAACACAAAATTGAATCGGCTTACGACAAATTGTCATTACTCACGCCAGAAGTACATACCAATTGAAGCCTCGTCATGATTTGTATCTGTTCGGAGCTAATGAATAAAAGCCAAAGCCTAATGAACTCTCACGATGCTGACATGCATGACTTGCTCTCGCCTGAGTAGCGGTACCAAATTGTGAGGGCACATACGACAATTAGGTGTTAGTGGGTCAGGCGGAGAAATGATTGTAAGATAACTGTAAGTGAAGTTCTTCTTTTAACATTTATGACAGGCCGATGCAAGTAGGCAGAGGCGACCGACAACTGACTCACGCTTTGAAAGTAGATAATAATATAATTTAACCATTTGCATGTTCAACTCAATCAATAGATACGGACTAGACTAACAAGGCTGTCGTGGAAAACTTTTCTGTATAATTCATATTAATTCAGGTCTATCTGTATGTATAAAATCTGTTTAATAAGAGCTTATTGCAGCAACAACACCAATTTAACTTAATAAAAGCTTATAACTACTTTGCTACTAGGTATAGCTTTCATAATTGTAATAAGTAACAAGTGATCTTCATTTACCTAAGTTCACCACCGAGAACCTAATTATGAATTATTAATGACGTTGAATTTCAGGCATTTAATATCTAAAGCTTTTAAAGCAATCAGAAAATAGATCAGTTGATAAAATATAAACGAACGTTAAATATGTACAGAGATCCGAGCTTTAATACTTTGAGAGCTTCGTCAAAACATTGAGATGTTTGTAGCATGAGCTCGAGTGGGTACCTGAGTGTAATTGTGTAGGAGTTGAAGGGCGGAGGGTAAACGCCCCGGTTACCGGTCGCGCGGCCGGGGCGCGGGCGAGGGCGGCAGACTGCACGTCTGTCAACGCTCGCTTCACCCGTCATCCCAACATCACGCACCACGCTCAGCTTTTTCAAACGCTCCGCGACCATTTGTCATAGCAATTATTCGGCTATTTCGTTTTACTTTCCTGCGATGGGACGTTGACTGACATTTCATTAACTAACTTCTAAAAGGATTCTTGGTATTGTTCGCCAGTTTTGAAAGAGTTAAAATTTTGTTTTGACATTGTTATTATGCAGGGACATTTCGTGGGAACTTTTGTCATTTAACTTATGTTTTAATTCGATTATTACGGCTTAAATCTTGTAACTTTTTAGTATTATGTATCTCGTTATTAAGTTAATATCTGAAATATAGTTAATAGAATTAGTGAAATTTAATAACTACCTATAAAATTATTCTCAGTTATTGCACAAAGGATAATTGTATAAAACTGTGTGGAATGTGGAATACTTAATTATTACTATCAGGTGTGAAACCGTTAATTTAGTTGTCTAATCATTTAGCAATGACCGGTTTGGTAAAAAATAATAGGTCTTTAAAATGATTAACAACAGCTACAACTATTTGATTCTTATTTATAATTTAATTTATTTCACAGAGCACTTTCAAAGTTGCCATGAGTCAAGTCGAGTTGCCAAGTTACACATGAGCGTTGTTTTGTTGTTTTTGAAATTCCTAAAATTTGCGATCACTTCGCGTGATTTTTACATAAGTCAGATGATTATAATGGTGGATGGTACATAATTGCTGGAGACGAAAACGATGGGCTGTCGGGTCACAGTTGCCCAATGACGGCAACCGCAGCAATTCGAGCATATTCCACAATTAGCGCACCGGTCGAGCCAGCCCCCACAAGCCGCATGACACCGATTGAGCCAGCATTTTAAACCTGCATACATTATGCTTCATTGTTCCCATTACAACATGATAGGCTCTAATTACTGTAATATGCTATAAGGACTGCAACTACTCGCGATCTCCTCCGCACGCAATCCTCGCTATAGTCTGCGTTAATAGAGACTGACAATTTAGCTAACAAATAAAGTCGAACAATATTGACTTTGAGCTCTATAAGTATCTAATGATTTGAGAAAACTTATCCTTGATTGCTAAGTGAAGAATGTTAAGTATGTTAAGACAATTAACTCTTTATGAGTCGATTTTAATCATACTTTATTTTCGAAATTGTTAGTTTCTATTGACGCAGACTGTACAACGGCTAAGTTTTTACTATTTAGCCAGTGAAACATAATTCCTCATATCCGACTAATTTTGCAGTTTCCGTTTTTTTACGATAAATTTCCATATTTCCCTTCCACTAACAAGCTAGGATCGCAAGCAGTGCAACTAAGGTTAAACTAATAAAACTCTAGTAGTTATTAGGTAAAATGAGTGCATGAACAGTGAATAAACATACAGTTTAATACTTTACGATTGCGTAAAACGATATTAAATTCACGGTCATCGGATTAGGCACGTAATGTTACTTTTAAGTTCTAGGCCAACATCTGTGTCAACCCGAATGCATTGTATCTATGTATCTTACTCGTTGTATATTATGTATAAAGCTATTAACTACTTTTGTGATTTGTAGAGTTCGTAGCAACTGGTATACAGACCGTTCCATAGCTCAAATTGAATAGGTAATTGCAGAGTCTTATTTTCAATTAATCAATCTTCCATTAGCCTTGTAAATAATACAGCATCGTTATTATTGCTTAACGTTTCAGAAAATAAGATATTCAAGTCAAGTATCTATTCTAAATCTAAATGATGTCTATTATTATAGACATCATTTAGATTTTACGAATTTACCACATTGCACATTTGTCGATTTAAAATTTTAATTAATGCAAGTAAATAATGTAATTATATTTCTCGCCTTGTATTGGATTTCAAATATTTTAATGAATGCCGATCGAATTTATTAAGACAGTTTATTATTAATATTAGTATAGGATAGGTGCTCAATTACACTGGAGCCTGCTTGTTTGTACCAACCTGATATTAATCGAGAAACATTTAAAAGTTAATGTTCCTGTAAATGGGGTTAAAGTAAAACTTCTAAATTATCTTAAATTATACCTTATAATTCCATAAAGATCAATAATTACTTATCACTTTTTGCTTAATTTACATACTAAAATAGTTTACTCTGTCAATCGTTGCTGTTAAACCGTAAATTGTAACGGCATAATTTGAGCGTTCGATCACAGCCACTTCGTAATATCATAACAAAATACAGTGAACGGCGCACGCACATGCACGGGAGATGCGCTCGAGGCGCGGCGGGATCACTGTGCGTCAGCGCAGCCTTGACATTTGAGCGCGCGCGCGCTCGCGCCGGCCCCTAGCCCCAGCGCCGGAAGCGGCTGTACTGCGGCGCCGGCAGGTACGGGTAGCGCGCCGGCACCCGCACGTGCTCCAGGTTGTACCCTCGCCGCCGCCGCACCAGCTCCTCCCCGTTCTCACTCTCCACCCGCTTCTTCGGCCTCACAAATGTCACCACATTCGATTCCAGTATCACATTGTCAGCCGCTATGGCATCGTCCGGCCTCAGCTTGGTCACTAATTTCGCTCTGTTCTTCTGAGCTGCGAGGTACTCCTGGTTCAGGACGAAGCCGAACAGCTTCGGCACTTGGTTGTAGCTGGTGGAGTCGATTTCCCGCTCGTAGCCGAGGCGGTCCCGGGAGGAGCAGAGCGCGGGCGCGACGAGCGCGAGAGCGACCGCGAGGAGCGCGTGCATGTTGCGGCGTGTGTCGACTGTTTGAGCCGCGCGGGCCCAACACACATTTTATATATGCGAGCGATCGATACGATTCGTTCCCAATTTGAGTAGATTTTTTGTGAGATCGTATAAGCGATCTGTGGCGCACTTGAACTTGGTAGCGTCTCGTGTGGGGATGCAGAAGTCGCGCGGGCGCTCGGCTCGTGCTCATCAACGGCGAAGTCGTGCCGTCGTTTGCTTGATGCAATTATTCGCATAATTTGATGCACCGGTGGCTACGAACGCTCATGAACCTTGTTCCACTTACATTAGCCGACATTACCCGACGTTACTCTCAAAGCTACAAGGTGACCATCACACCTGTACCGATGTGGTGGGCATCGTTTATTATCACACCTTGTATCTAATTTTGCGGTATGAGAACCATTTTGCATATCTAAGCACAAGCGTCTGCAGTTAGTTATTTTACATGTACCAGAGAGCCGTAATTACCCATAACCATTAACTTATAAGTTATAATCAATGCGATATCTACGAGAATATTCAATATAAATAACATTGATCAAGCTTTTGAGAAGGAGGATTGTAAATTTTCTATTGGCAAGTGGACCGCTGATGTTAGTTATACTCGTACCATAATATTTTCGGACTGGAACAGTTGGAATCCGTTTAGGCACAGTTTGTAAACTGAGATTACGTGAATGACAAGCAAGTAAGCTCAAAATCCCCTACAAGCCTACGATAACATCAACAATGATAGCGCTTATATCCTGTTAGAGCCTAAAAAATGGACAGTTATTGCATTTCGTGACCAAACTTGGCTTAGATAATTATTTTGTACGCGCATTTCAAATTACATTGTTTTGCCGTAAGTCATTATGATGGTTTTGTGATGAACATAATATTACTTAGATTTTATGAAATTCTAACACTTAGTACAAAAAGCATGAATAGACATTTCATTACTCAAAGTTGAAGGCTTGTCTTCATCTTTTGTGGTGCATAACCACCTTAGATTGCGCGTTTATGGACCTACAACACGATTTCTTCAAGGATAATATTTTAACAACTTCAGATGAATATTTACCATGCTTGGAATATCTAGTTACAATATAAGGTAATGTGATAAACTATAACAACATTGAAATGTAGAGAGCTTGTACACGGCTATGTTGCATGTTCTTTGAATAGAATATAGGAAATGAAATGAATGATTTATTTTATTTTAGCTATTCTAACGAATTTATTTGTGACTCATTGTATTATTAATACTATATTATTAATAATTGTATTATGTAAGACAGACAATACAGCTACAGAACTTTTAAGTGATCAAATAATATGTATATTTTATTCAAAAATTTTGAATCAAAATATACTGATGTTTCTGCGCAAATACATAAATGAATTTGCATTTGATTTAAACATCAATTTGCAATGATTTATGTGAAGAAAGTTGAATGGATGCTAAAAGATCACGTCAATATTTTCTAATCATTGACATTTAGTCAATGATTAGAAAATAAAATCTATTAGCGGTTAATTTACGTGTGTAGCAATTTCCAAATGCTTAGACTTTGCAACGCTTATCTAGTTAAGTAAGGGCTATTAAGTAATTGGCGTGGCCAGAATGATCGAAGCCTTTATTTATATTTGAAACGCAAAGGTTCAGCAACACTTTATTTGGTCCGATTTTACAATGGCTGTTTATTAATGTTGCTGCAATTGAAATAAGAATAGAAAGTAAAGATTTTTACTTATCGATGCGGAACTAAAAATATCGAGGTCATGTCCAAAATGTCGATAGAAAACCTGAATACAGGAAGCTACACGTGAGCTGCCGACCTTCCGAGATCATTCTTGCTCTGGTGATTACGTTACTGGTAACTGAGAAAATTAATAACGATGTAACCTTAATGACTGATACGAATGTAAACAACGCATCAGCGTGGTGGGTGCAATATTTACAGTCTGCTCGGAAACACGTTTTAATGAATGGTTCGGTACCAAGTTCAATATTTATAAGAGTCGTAGTTTGACGACGAAAGTGGACATGCTTGTTTATATTTATGAATATTATTAAAATCAATATCGGTATTATGTAGATGAGATAAGATTTTTATGTTCACCCGTACTTTTATCCGTCGCTTGAGTAATAAAAAGCTATATGAGCCTAGTCGAATACGATTTGGAAACCTGATTATGAATTTTATTTATATTTAATGGTAATGAGGAATCGAGTTTCGGATGCAGTAACAGCGCGGAAATAAGTTCAATGTAAACGGAAGTGTAGTAGCGGCAGAATCGAATGTACAGCCAGTTGGAAGCCACAAAGGCGAGTGCCCGCCACTCCGGGGCGTCCACTCCCTTCCAAATTTCATTATCATCCACTGCTCCGAAATACTTCGAGAGAACTCGGCGGTATTTGATTTGTAAACGGCTCTGGTTCGCCGAAGGCGGCCAGTAATTATTACTTTAGAAACGATCGCTTCAATCTAAGATTAAGATATACAAACGAACCATCACAAATATTTGAGGAATCCTTTGAAAAAACCTTCCCTACTACGAGCTATTTCCATAACTAAAAATGTAAAACGAGTCGATCGCCGTGGTTCGATCATTGAATGGAATAAAATTATATTTTTATACACAATGACCTCCAGTAACAGTCAAAGATAAAACTAATCATGCAATTAATTCAATTACTCTTCTTGAAAAAGCGGTCGGAGCCGGTTCTTGCCGCGAGATTAAATAGTCGCAATTATATCCTCACAAAGGCTTACATCGTCGGGCGTAATGTGGTCCGACACAGCATGATATTTTCTTCACAATGCGCACTAAACGACACATGTCCAAGGACTTGTGGACAATGTGATGAGCATTGCTTCTTCCGTGTTGTTGTTTCGTTCCGCATTAATCGTGGAATCACTGTTAGAATATTAATATTGCTGACAGAACGAAATCTTGCCGGTTGTCTTTTGTTTTGTCTACCTGAGATGTTTTTGTTGTTGGTTTTTGCCTGTAGAGTGAAGCGTATTTAATTTGGGGCATATTGGTTTTGCTAAAGTGGACTTTGTGTAGGGGAAGCTTATGCGTGTCGGATAGTGTTTGTTTTGACACATCGGGCACAGTGACCGGGCGCGGGCGCGCTTTGTTTCGCGCGTCCTCGCGTGTCGCGCGGCGGTCATTGCTTCCTGCTTGCTGACCGCTGCTCATCTCGCCGTGTGACGCTCTCGCTGCGTTTGCGCAACATGCATTATTCATAGCCGGCACGATTAACCATTTATTATCCTTTGTTCTATAATTTCATCTAGCCATTATAATTTGTTTATATCCAATTCCATGCGCTAAATGCATAAATTGAATTTTTAATACAGGTATTCATTTGAAATCATCCTGTAACGGCACAGTTTAATGCATCCAACTATTTTACTACAAGGTTGCACTGCAACAGAGTACGACGCGTTGTATGACTGCTAAATTTCTCATACAAAAGACATCTACGCATTAAATATGCGAACGCTGTACAAGTGTACATACTAACATCAGGTACACCCAACTTTTCTAGCACACTTCTGATCTAGCATCCGGGATGATCAATGTTGGTATCGCATAAGCACAAACTAATTTAACTGTTGACTATTTGTATTTGATAGTCATAAAATTATTGAAATATCAATATATTACGCTCAACTCTTTCATTATTCTGTATTACGATTATCTAAAGTAATCTAAAGACTATCTAAGATTGGTCTTTTTAAACTTTGCCAGTTTACTGTAGTAGTAGTATCAGTAATCAGTACATCATCAGACTGGAAAGAGTACTGTAAGATTCGTCGATCTTGCAGGTACTCTTTCCATCGTTGCAGTTACTGTAACCTCAATCTCTATTGTTGCAGATGCCATGGGACTCGTCTGAGGAGCAGATGGGCGCGCCCCGCGAGATGCGCATCCACGTGCAGCGCGTGATCGCCATTCCCGCGCCCCACAACATGCCCCCTCCCCCCGAGAACATGGGCCCCTTCGCGCCCCCGCCGCCGCCCCAGCACCAGCAGAGCGAGGCCAGGGTAAGGATACTGTAATGGGATTATTCCCACCTCTCGTTCCGACTGCTGCAACTCCTGTGTGCCCAGGATCTACAGCTGTAATAGCTTTGAACCGTCAGCTGTTTAGGTCTATGTGTAGAGCTGAGAGTGGACTTTGAGGTCGCAAATCATGCATTATATTATTCCACCAGACATAAACATATTTATTTATTTATTTAAAGGCACAACCACAGAAAGATGCAAGAGTGGATGATGACTAGCTTAGCACTCGGCTGCTTATGTCTAGGTGTAGAGCTGATAGATAGAGGACTTTATGGATANCTATGTAATATATAAAAGAAAGTCGTGTTAGTTACTTCGCTTATAACTCAAGAACGGCTGAACCGATTTAGCTGAAAATTGTCAGGGAGGTAGTTTAGAGCCAGGAGAAGGACATAGGATACTTTTTATCCCGTTCGAAATTAAAAAAAAAAAGTCTGCTTATTTATTGCCATTAATCCTACTAGGTGGACCGACGATCTCGTAAAGGTCGCGGGAAAAGCCTGGATGCGGGCAGCGCAGGACCGTGCATTGTGGAAAACCTTGGAGGAGGCCTTTGTCCAGCAGTGGACGTCATTTGGCTGAAACGAACGAACGAACGAACGAAGGCGGAACAAAGTTCGCCGGGTCAGCTAGTTATGGATAAAAATCATGCAATAAAATCATAAAATTAGGGACTTTGACGTTATGAATGCATTGTGATAGGCCTGTTGATCTATTAGGAATTGCTTTAGTTTCAAGTGAGTATCACTTGAAATGAAATAATAATATATTTAGTTGTGGTAATATAAAGTTCTTTTATAAAATTGAAAAGCACGTGGAGTGCTTGTACTTTGTCCAATAAGTAGGCGACGAAACTTTCACCTTGATTGTGATACTGACCTCGACCGTGACATCATCATTTGGAAAATGGACCATAATTCTGATTTTAATGACAGCCATATTATCCAAATCTCGCGACTCTATACCTACTATAATTTTGTACAGTAATTTTGAAAATAGTGCACGATTATCGTCCTATTTCCTATTTGATTAGTAACTCTAGTGACAAGCCACTTTACGATAACATCGTCTTGGTAGGTACATAAAAATACCAGTAATATGGTGTGACATGGCATCAACGAACCCGCAATATGTTCATGAAAGCATTATCGATATTCACAGCATGTTCCGGGCATTTGTTCGTTTGCCTCGCCACGCGACACTTTCAACAAAAACGTAGTATCCCTCTCCTACATTACCTACAACAATGTTCCCACAATTTCTATGGCATTTCGTTAAAATATTTAGGTCAGAATTTTGGCAAGGGAATGAAGTACGTACAAACCTAATAAACTAACGAGAAAATCCGGCGACATCGTGTGAATAGGCAGCCGTCCCTAATGTTCATGAATTCTTATGAACATGCTTCCATGTTACTCTCATATTTCCAGAAATAATACTTTCCTTCTAACCTTAAAAACTGTAAATTAATAGAATTGGTATGTCATAAAATATTACCCAAAAACTATCATCATTGTTCTTGAATAAATTGTTTGCTTTGAACCAAATTGTTTCCTGCTTATTTGGTGTTAAATAAGGTGTTAAATCAACAGTCTGAGTACACACAGGAGTCAAAAAACTGTAGTGATACAAAAAATATTCCGTTATGTGGCAACTACAGCAACAGTAATGAGCGCAAATTGTATGGACTGTGTACGGAAGCAACTGGTAATGACACTGGTAATCATTTCATGCGGCGAAAATTATGATATTATCATAGGATCTTATCTTTAATACATTTATTTGTAGGTACTCTGACAATTTAATTTATTGGTCATCTAGTAACATGCTTCAGTCATTTGTAAAGCAGGCAGATATTTAACCCGTTTTTTAAAAATAGGCTTAATTACCAAGTTGTTTACCATTTTACGAGTACAGTCTGATATTTATGTTGAACGATAACTTTTATTATGCAAAATATCTAGGTAACATGTAAAATTAAAATGCGAGTAACCTCTGTTACTGTTTGCCGAAGGCGTTTGTAACCGGATTAAGCTATTTAAAAATATCCGCATGGAATTAATTACATCAACCACTCTTGCAAATGATGCATTTTGGTTTAATTTGCATGAGGTTAATAGATTGTATGTTTTTGTTCTAGCAACCAGCTGTTATCCACCAGTTTGTGCCCCAGACGGCTCCTACGCAGGAGCTGGAACAACCTGATGTAAGTTTGGAAAAATATTTTTCCTTTTATTCATAAAAACCGAAAATATTTTTTTATAACATACCGTTTCAACATTTGGCAGAAAGTAAGTAGGTACCTGCCTATCTATCTAAGAATTCATCAACTAAAACGATGTTATAACCCTAAGTTCTTTATTATTACTGAGATTTATTGGTGAGAGAGATTTGTACTTTAGCTAGGATTTCGGGAACGTTCGAATTATTAAACTCATATAAATANTAAATGTTAATTAGGTGTCTAACACTTATCTCTAACACTGCTTTATTTCTACATTTCACTAGTCTACTGATGTAGTCTAGGATTAAATAGCGTAATAGTCTGTTTGAAGCGAGCGCTGACTGAAGTTGGTGTATACCCATCGTTTGAGTTTGTGTTTGAATTCCCGGGAGTGTTGTGGTTTTTGCAAATGAACATTTTGCTTTTGACAAGTGCGGTACTTTCTCGGATTCACTTGTTTTTCACAATATAATTTAGTACTAGGTTTCCACTCGGAATTTTTCGGTTTTTTATGACACTCAGCAATAATGTGGCTTTTTTATTGGTGAAAGAATTTTTAAAATCGGTTCAGTACATCCCGAGATTACCCCTAACAATTTAACAAACACACAAACTTTACCTCATTTTAATATTAGTATAGATGACAAGGAAATTGAGTGCCTAGGTATTATACTTATTGGTGCATCCATCATTGGACTTTACTTTTTTGCGTTTTGCACGCCTCTTCAAGAATGAATGATAGTATCAGAGATAGCATGTTATGTATTACTACCAAATGACATGTGTCTTATAGATTTATTAGTGAACTCAACAGTCCCCGAACTGATAGAGAGAGAGACGATTCATTTTCTATCATATTCATAACCTTGTTTATTGTTCACCAGGTCCAGAAGATGCAGATGGACGGTACACCCGTGCAAATGAACCTGCCTTGGGATCTGACCCCTGAGGACCTGCACGCCATCCACCGCACCGCCCAGGACGCCGCCGCCAGCCAGCGCAGGGAGCAGCAGATTGACAACGATATGCAGGAGGTGAGATTTCTTGCTGAAGGATACTCAACCTTATTTTGAAGGTCACATGCGTATACCTCGATAGATAGAGAATACTCCACCTTATTGTAGGGGCCACAAACACGCTTATAATTATCTCGATGCGTAGGGAGTTCTAAGGGCCATAACACGTTTAGGTATTGTTTCTCGATGCGCAGCAAATTGACAACGATATGCAGGAGGTGAGATTTCTTACTGTGGTGTACACCTTATTAAAGGGACCGCAAACAAGTTTACTCACTGCGTCTCGAAGCTTATGTATGGATCAGATTGACAACGATATGTAAGAGGTGAGGCTACTTGCTGTAGTGATACCCAACCTCATTTTATAGGAACCGCAAACATGTTATTGTGCCTCAATTCGGAACATAAAATGTAGTTAACAACTTTGTAACTGTGCCAGCCGCTCCATTAACTCAAAGCTTTGCAGGCCGCAGGTTAACTACACCTGGATTAGAGCGGACTCTCGCACTTTTGTGATTCCCAATTTAAGCCTGTCCATCTAATACTTGATTAAATTTTTCACAGCTCATAAATAAGATTATAAAAATGACATGTATCAGGTGTTTAGTGTTATCGTACCTACATCTAAAGATATCGTAAACATAAATTCTAATTTATTGCCGTTTCTACAATAAAGGCATGGCGTAAAAAATATAGCTTTAGATAAATTGAACACCTGTTGGAACATTTGCATTAATCGTAATGAATTGTTAATTATTATTCTTATTTCAAAGATTACTTGAACGATTAATTTCAAAGATACAAATTGCATTTATTTTCTGTTTACCTATTAATATATTATTATTGCGTTATTATGTTAACTAAGTACTTAGGTACCTGTTTTCCGGTATACTCGTAATAGCATCACATTAGTATAATAGCTCTTATTCTAATTAACCTATATTTCTTATTAAGTCAAGTTGTTAAACATTTTCACATTAAATAAAAACAGAGTCAAGACATTACTCGATTCGTATATTTGTTCAATCGAAAGCACGTCAGCTACCAACAGTGGAAAATCGCGTCTATTACAGCTACATAAAATCCTATCGTAGACGTCCACAGTGCCTCTCGTAGAGTGACGATCGTGAACACCTAGGCGGCTGTTGTTATAACGTCACAAGATCACTCGCTCATATACGAGTATAATAATACGAAATCAATCAATGACCTATTTGCGTTAGGGTAGACCGGGTACAATAGTACCACGGGTCAATAGTACCATCGGCGATATTTCTTCATACAAGCGACGTTAGGTAGTGTGCATAGCGTCAGAATATGCGCTTTTTGTGTTTCCATCCGCTCACCAGTCGGCGGCGCTTGCGCTGAGAAACGAAGGTGTACAGGAAGGATTTTTGTTTTTTGCCCAGCCGCAGTAAATTTTTACGTCAAATATATGAGCCCANTTTATAGCCTATGCCCGCGGTTTCACCCGCGTGAAATTTAGTTTGTCACAGATCGTCATAAATTATAGCCTATATGTTATTCTGGGTTATAAACAATAATACTGTAAAGTTTCATCAAAATCCGTTCAGTAGTTTTGCGTTAAAGAGTAACAAACATCCATACATCCCGACATCCAAACTTTCGCAGTTATAATGTTAGTAGGATTAGTAGGATAGTTTGCAAAAGTTTTGTACATATATTGGTGGTAGGAAAAGTAATACGCCACGCGGCTCATGTGAGCTCATAAAATGTCTATTGTGTCTAGTGGCGTTCAATGACTTAATGGAAACTAAACTCTATTGCAGGTGAAAACGATCGTGAACACATTGGCGGCTGCCGCGGAGGCCGAGGCCGAGGCCGAGGCGCGCGCGCAGGCCGAAGAGCAGCAGCGCCAGGACGAGGGTCATCCTGAGCCCGCGCACGAAGCGCCCGAGCACGCGCCGCGCGCTCCCCGCACGCTGCTGCTGCCGCAGGACATGCCCATGGACGAGAGGCCGCATTGTAAGTCACCCTGATATCTACACTTCATCATCATCATCATCATCATTTCAGCCACAGGACGTCCACTGCTGAACATAGGCCTCCCCCAATGCTTTCCATGTTGATCGATTGGTAGCGGCCTGCGTCCAGCGCTTCCCTGCTACCTTTACGATGTCGTCGGTCCACCTTGTAGGTGGACGTCCCACGCTGCGTTTTCCGGTACGCGGCCTCCATTCCAGAACCTTTCTGCCCCATCGGCCGTCAGTTCTGCGTACTATGTGCCCTGCCCATTGCCACTTCAGCTTGCTAATACGTCGGGCTATGTCAGCGACTTTGGTTCGTTTACGGATCTCCTCATTTCTGATTCGATCTCGCAAAGAAACACCAAGCATAGCCCTCTCCATAGCACGCTGTGCAACTTTGAGCTTCTGTATAAGGCCTATAGTGAGAAGCCACGTTTCCGAGCCATAAGTTATCACTGGTAACACACATTGGTTATACACTCTAGTCTTCAGGCATTGAGGTAATTTGGACGAAAAGATGTTGCGTAGTTTCCCGAACGCTGCCCAGCCGAGTTGGATTCGACGATTGACCTCCTTCTCGAAATTGGACCTACCTAGCTGATATCTACACTTGGTCTTGGCTAATCTTGTATGGGTCCTGATGTGTAGGGCGGAACGTCCTACTTGGTGTAAGAGCACACCAGTAAGGCTGGGTTGCACAATCTTTCTTTACCTTTTTAATAAACGTCAAAAATCTGTCAAACTCCATACAAAAAGCACCGGTTATCGTTATAGTTACCGTTAAAGTTAGGTGGTGAAACTCAGCCTAAGCATGGTAAAGAGCAGGACCTAGCCATGGATAAGAGTTGTAAGCATAAAGCAATAAGATTCAGACCTATGGCGAGGCGGGGTATTTTAACGACAAAACGAGGAGGAGTAGGTATACCTTCCTACCTTGAAGGCTAAAAAAACTTCAACGAAATTACATTACGTAACTGAATGTCAAAAAGTTGTAAAAGCATTTTCAATAAAAGATATTTTAAGTAACATTTCCAATACAGATAAAACATGAATCCTTCTTACCTAACATTTTCATACAATAACCGCCGTTTCTAAAGATACCTACCAGGATAATTATATTGACAAGATGATATTTTACGAGCCTGAAAATCACTTTTAATTGGAAGAGTAACATTTTTGACAGCTAATCGATGGATGTTTCAACGTAACGAAGCGACGACGTTGTCATGTAGCCTCCTGCCTATAGTCCGCGCCAAGAAATTTTGTAAATGAGTTTTGGCAAAAAATTGCAAAGATACTAAAACGAAACGAACGAACCGACTCTGATTATTTCACTTTGCAGTCAACTATAGGTTTATGCACATCACTGGGGATATGAAAACAATTTTATGGTAATTTTAGTCAGCCTAAGTGTGAAATATTGATATGGTTTATTGACGCCGACTATATCTACATTTAAATATTACTAATGCCTATTTTTAGATGGTAAGCTTCTAAGCTTCATTGTAAGTCTGCCTAATGGATAAAAGGTCGTTAAAGCCTTGATATATTACCTAGTGTGCTAATCTTTAGTCAGTATAAAAACCAAAGCTTATTATTACCATTAGTGTTTCTTTATCATAGTTAAAAAGTAAGTAACTATATTCTTTTCAGTTTTCCCTCCGTGATATTTCTTGTTCTCGCGGCTTTAAAGTTAAAAGCTTGTTGAAGTCTATGATTAGGAATGATGACCCGCCAGCTGTCTCCTGGCCACTCGTGCGTGCAACTTGCTACCAAATAAATGTCTTTTCTATTATGTTCAACAACATCTGGGTGCAATTGTTTGGAAAATATGGGTAGGTATTTACAGCTTAATATAGATTTTGAGTAAACGCACGTACCTATAGTTTTGATGAACTTAATTACCTACTTTGTGAAACTGGTATTAAAATATAGTAGTTAATTAAAATTCACAAGATCTTAGGGTATTTAAGTTTACAAAAACTTGAACATTAGGAACAAACTTCTAGCAAAAAATACTTAATTAAAATGTTTGTTAACAAGATGTATGAAGAAGGGTACCTACACATAATAATGAAGCAGGTATATTATTGTTTATTCAGATTTGAATTATTTTACATAATGACGTCTATGCTTAAAATATCTCGATGGCATCAATTTGGTCCCTTGTCAACCCTATTATGAAATATCGCCCGGGGATATTACCAACACTAACAAAAGACTGATTTATTCTAGAAATAGAGGTTGAATTAATTAAGCCTTCAGATAAATGAGGCTTTGTTCATTGAAAAATACTTAAGCAGCTACGTCTGAGTACCTAATCAATGAAAGCCAGACGTATTGAAGTCTCGAAAGAGCCATATTTTATGTAGGCTAGGTAACCTAATTATTTGTGTTGAATAATTTTTGTGTTACTAGTTGATGTAACTAAGATAGATTCCTAATTCTTAAGACTAATATTCATTTGAATTCGTCTACTCTATGGCATTATCTCCTAAATGGATTAACCGATTTTGATGCATTTTTTGTTTAGTGGGTGGTAGGTGTAGGTGACTTGATATATTTTGAACTTGGTGTTTAATACTTGCTTATACTTCTATCAGTTTTTAAATAATTAATTTTTTTGCAGATATGCAGCCCCGTTCAGTCCGCAGTGTGGACGCCATGTTGCGTGAGCCTGACGCGAAGCGCGTCAAGCGCTGCGCTTGCAGCTGCGCCTAAGCTTTCTGCGCTGCAGCCGCTGCGCTCCCGCGCCTCCTCCGTCCATACCTTCTCAAACTTCCTTGTAACAAATAGGATGACATCGTTTGTTACCCACTTTTGACTGTGACATTTCGCTAACAGTTCTGTAAATAAAGTTGTTAACTCTTCAGCTTCAAAATGTCGTTTTTGTTCTTATTGGTTAGCACCAAAACGTTATATTTATGAAATTTTATGTTTGTTAATTAAATAATTTATCGTTCGTTTTGGTTCTAAAAATGTACATCTAGATTTATAATAATAACGGATTACTTTTGAAATGCAACGTGTAGTATTATTATAGAAATAGTGAAACGGGCCAATAAGTAGAGGGCGTTGTAATATGCATGTTAGGGTATTTCACTGATAATAATAACTTTTAAATATTTATCACAACATCGAAATATTCAAACTCTTTTGACGGGATAAAACTAATGTAAGTACCATTTCTTTTTAAGTAAACAAAGTAGGCATCTGTATTAGTAGAAAGAAACTGCATTTATTTCTAAACAGAATGTCTTCGAGTGGGCCTGTAAAATCATGAAGTACGTGGTAATATTGTAACATTGACTTACATTCTATTGTAATGTGATCCTAAATTAAAAATTTATTAGTTTTAATTGTGTTGGTTTTATTTAAATGAATTTAATGTGACTACACTCAGTCTATGTGGGTGAGTCCTCGTAGGTAAAGATTGTTTCCTCCTAGACTGCTGCCGTCATTACAATGATATAAGTTAAGGTAAACCATAGTTACCTATTCGTGCAAAGTAACGCGTCACTTCTAAATACTTATTGTCTTGATTTCACTTTTCAATCGTCAAGGGTGAGTTTCATTAAAACCTATTATTTTATTAAATACCTATCTAAAGATGAAATGTGCAAAAACCTACTTAGATACATGTGTAATAATTAAATGTCTGCAACGTTTTCGTACTCAATCATCTCTTTTCTGAGTATTTTTCCTGAATAATATATTAATTAACTGCTCTTAAAACTTTCTGATGAACCACCGCTGTTTGTGTACATCTGTCCAAATACCATCCCGCAAAGTTTGGGAGCCGCGGGCGGTGTGTACAAATACCTATAGTTGGTTACGGCTCGAGATGTAGGTGGGAATGTACCTATACACCCTGTAGGGCTATCTGAACAATAAAAGATATAAATATTTTTTTATTTTCATTGAAACGTTATTGATGGGCCGCTATGGATGCCAGGCAAAGGTACAACAGGGTACTGAAGTAAATTTTTCTACACCCTTACAGGGTCAATGTATGAATGCATGTATACCTGTATGTGCTGAATATGTTATTGCAAATGAATAAATAAATAAATAAATTGGTAGAGACTTATTTGACTAGTTGAGCGCTATTTGGTAAGCTATAAATTGATAGAGGTCTTTCGGAAAGTACGTTCCCTAAAACTATAATAAATGGTATCGTTTCTAAGAGGCTTTATAATAAAGGCGTTACCAAAACGTGCTACCGAAGTAAGTAATATTTTATTAGTGAAATTAAAATTAAGTTACCCACCAAAAAACTCTAGCATCGAGTTCTTGGTTAGGCTTCAGGTATTTATTTGTTTATCTAAAATTCTAAATGAAGACTTGTGGCTTTTGGCAACCCTGCCCACGACGCAGTAGGCTGAGGGCGCGGTGGGTAATATCGCGAAGCTGACTGAGGAGGCTATTTTCTATTCCGATGCGAAGATTATTGCCTCCTTTTTCTTTGGAGTGCCTATTCGGCGACCCACGTTGTTTAAACGCTCACCTCGCCCGTTCGGGTGATATTGTACTCGTAGTCTATGAAGAAATATTTTTCTTAGGTATAAAAGTTTTCGCAATAATAAACATTCAACATGGGTTCTACACCATTTAATTTATATGCTAAAACACATATGATTATGTACAAATACCTTTAAGTTATAATTATAATGTACTTAATTAAATTTATACAATTCAGTTCTGTTAGTTTCCTATTCTAAATTTTAGCTGCACTTTGTCATTTATCAATAGAAATACTGTGATTACGTACAGATTCGGAGGACTTAGACCTGAAATTCATTATAATTAGGATAATATACAATAAAAGTATAAGGAAGTTCATTAGAAACCCTGATACGTAACTAATTAGTAGAGTCAAGAATGAGTGTAGACAAAATAGTTTGATGATGTCATTTGAGAACAAATAAAAGTTGATGACTAAGCACAGCAAGAAGGTGATAACAGTTAAGCTTCTGGCGAATTTTCTTATCTTGTCTTTTAGGACTCGGTATAAGATTGTTAGGTAGAGGATGGTTCCGAGGAGCATGAGCGGCCACTGCACCAGGCAGCAGATGAGCAGCTGCACGAGCCACTGGTCCACGCCCGCCGCCACCACGCCCGAGCACACGCAGCTGATAGGCACCGGCACCAGCCACGCGCACGTCAGCATCTTCCACAAACTGTTCTCACTGATCTTCACCATCACCACTATCAAACTGTCATACATGTGCTTTATAAAGAAAAACACCAATATCACTATCACAAAGTCAACATAAATTCCAAAACTGAACATCACCGCTTTCGACCCCTCAGTGTCCGGGACGAGGTTCTTCTCCCTCATGAACACGATCAGGAACACCAACCTCTTCAAGAAGCGCACGACACTTAGCTGCAATAACATCTGATTTCTGTAGTTTTTTCGCCATCTTTGCATTTTAAGAGCCGCTACCCCCCAAATAATTAACTCTAAAGCTGTCATAACTATTTCAATTATAATAAAAGCTTCAAACACTGGTAGAGTATCTTGAGATTCATTGTGAAGTGGCTGCTTAGCGTCCATCACGTTACGAACACTTTCTGTAATCGAAAGCTCTTCCCCTGGGGCCGTATCTGTCGAAGTGATTTCACTTTCATTAAACTGTATTGATGGGTTCGTAGTAGTGTCCGCCATTGTAGCTCGTATCGGTTATTAACCTCCGTCTTCAAGATTTCCGTCTTAGTGATAACATTGATGTCCACTTTTACTATCGCAGGTGGTACTATGTCAACAAACAACGCGCGACTGGCAGAGAGGTGCCAATCAGACTGCCTTTAGGCAAGTGTCGAACAAAACAGGAAACTTGTAATATTGCTCATTAGCGATCGTTCGGTTTTATTGGAATTTGTGGTTGACGGACGTCATACCTGTGTGTAACAAAATACCCACGGATTGCTCACGTCTGTGACGTAGGTAGGTATGCATGCCTATTCGATCTACTAGACTAGTAGATGACAAAGTCATATTTTTTTGCAAAGGAAGAGCCTCTTGTCCTGTGACATAATCTTTTCTTTACTAGGTTGACCCCAGCCTCACAATGAACACCCTGTAAGTCCGATGCGCTCTCGTGAAGGTTGCTGAAAGCGCTTAGATAGGGGCTGTGCAGGATCAATTGTTGTGGAAATTCTTGGGAAAGACCTTATGTCTAGCAGGATGTCTATCGTTTAAAAGGAAGGTGACGGCTAAAAGTACCTGCTACTTGACAGTCTCATTGTCTTCTCAAAATTTTACGAGTGGCAGGTAATTTTTTAAGTAAGGTGGTTGATATCTAATAGAAATTGGCTTTCATCAACAGGTATACTTAACCAGTGGTGATGAGTGTAGTGAGTGATGGTATGTTTTAAAAATATTACCTATTGTTTTAAAAATATAAAAGGTGATATGACGCGACGATTAATTTACAGAATTAATTAACTAATTTTCTGTTCGTAAATTGTTTTGCGGAAAAGGTTTTGCCAATTACTGTCGCGTTTAATGACTTAAAAACACTAAATACCCATTAAAGGCGATAAAGCGCGTTTGATTAGGGAACATGAGTGGTTGTCGGGTAAACAAACATCATCCAGTGCGCGCGTAGAGTTGCGTAAATACCTAATGCGGCCGTGTTGATTTTCATTACGCATTCAATCTTAACAATTTTAGACCTACTTATTGATTTTACTCTTTCTGTAACTGTAAACACCCCCCTATTACTAAGACTCCACCTCCACTGTCTGTCACCAGGTAGTATCTCAAGAGTCGTGAAAGCTAGACAGTTGAATTTTTTTCTGTTGCCGTTAAACAACAAATGCTAAAACCGGAATAAATTAAACGTGAATAAAAGTGGTGCTCCCATACAACAAAATTAAATGTGATTTTTTGCTCGAAAACTTTAATTTCAAGAACCATATTACCTAGGTACAAGTTTGTACAGAACCCTCGGTGCACAAGTCCAATTCGAACTTGGCCGGGTTTTTAAGTTTATACTTATTTAGGTAGTGATGGTATTATAACTTCTAATTGCTACCAACACATTGATGCTCTTGATGTAATTTGCGGCAAAACTAAGTCTCATCTGACCTGAACGATTCAATTCTCAGGTGTCCTATTTAGGTAAAGTTGTAGCAAAATTGTTACAATTCACAACCTGAACGCATCGAAGGGGAATAACTGTTTCCCTTTGGCTTATGAAACTTCCATATCGTATTTTTTATAATAATTGACCTTTACCTGCCTGCTTATCTGAACGGGCTACTTATTTTTTTAGCTCGATAACAAAATTATAAATTCCATTGATATTTTTGTAGGCATCTCGTTCAAAGAATGTCACAAAAACAGTGTCCTGAAATGTTAGACAACATTCCTCAATCAAGGTCTTTTATTAATTTATGATAGGGAAAAGGTACTAGTTTTTNCCAGGTGTATAAATTGACATAATAATTTTTTGTTTAAGCTTGGTCTTCATTAGTTAACTGAAACTGAAGTTGTATGTACTTAGTACCTAGCTGATACGAGCCTCCAACCGGCCGAAATAATTACCTACTAGGAGACTGTGTGACATTGCGCGTGACAGAGTTTTTCATTTATTGTTTTCTTAACCCTTTGACATTAAATAAGTCCTTAAAATATGTATTATTTTAACGGAAAATGCAAATAGACAGATAGTAAAACATGGTGTATCTCTAACTTTTGTAGGTACTCAACGCCATACTTACACAAGGTTTGTTATTATGCCCATGAAAGTTGAAGAAAGGTTATCAGCACAACACTACCTCTATCTAACGTTAAGTAATTATTGTAGGCACCTATGACCTATATTTCATGTTTGTTTTGAATTGACTCGTCGTAAGTACCGACGGATTTACGAGAACATTACTTACTCACACAAATATGACGAACGTAGCGGAATGTACCGACACCTAGTATTTCGATTACGATTCAGAAAATCGCAGAGTGAATAATTAAGTGATACCTAATGTATTTCTTGTAACCTAAACAATCTTTTTGATATTATACAGTTTAATTTTAAGTTTTTTTTATTGTGGCCTTTCAATTATCGCTCCGAGATTTTAAATATCAATAATTTCTTTCTAACAAACGAATATCGGCCCAATGAAAATTTATTTCCAATGACTTCTTCATCGACTAGTTATTGGATAGAAAGAAAATTACTTAGATAGATTTATTGAAATGAGAAAATCAGTCGAGTTCATAAAGTTGTGCCATAGTTATCCTTGTGCATCCACAGATAAAATCTATCTGCCGACTACCCTCAGTTTGCTTAGCAACCGAGGGTCTAATACGGAACATTGAAAGATGTGAAGATATGAGAAAAAGCTTCGAAGGTATTATCTCTTGATGTTTAGTAAGGCGGCCAAGCTTTTAGAAATGTATGAGCAAGGGCAACCTTTTTCCTGTCACAGTAAATTACGCATTTTGAGTGAAAATGCGTCGACTTTCAAGCTCGCTTGCTAATGTATAACAACGTAAGGCTTTGTGACCTGCCTGTCGAGATGAAATATATATTTCTGCGAATAAATCGGGCTGCCGCAATGATGTGAAAATGAAAAAGTGCAGGTCACCTGGACAAGTCTCTACTCGCACAGCACTTTACAGTTCTTCTTGTTACTCGCAACCATTACGTACGAGTTTTCCATCACTATCGACGCGAGTGAATTGCTTTAGTGAAACTTTGCATCTTTTTTATTTCATTTTACTTTCTTTCACAGCTCCATTATAAAATATATACCTTCATCTGCTTCTTTGTAAGTTTTGAACTTTTGAGTTTTTCTGGCTCATAAATTATTCAAGCTTATCCCTTGTTGAGCGTAAAGGGGTTTGGGGAGTTTATTCATTTTTTGCACATCGCCTGTTTTTATGCGGACCGTTATCAATTTGCCTACTTTGTCGCTATCGCTTGACAGGTCGAAGATAACGCTAATACTGTGTGCTTTTATCAAGTTACGTACGTTGTAAACGCGCGATATGCCTTGTTTACGTGTTTCCTCTATTAATGTTTATTGTGCTCTGTAATGGTTACTGTCTTTACGTCTGACGTCAGTGTTTTATGTTAAGGCACGACGTTGATGGGCCTAGTTAATTTACGATCTCGTAACTCATCATCAGTCTACCGGTTAATGGCTGCGAAAAACAATTGAAATGTGTAATAAGAAAGTATTAAGATTTACTGGTAAGCCTTCTCCTTTGCGCCTTTTAAATCACGAAACCTTAATTAATGATAATATAAGCAGCGAAGGCTGTGTCCGTGGAAAATGAATGCTGTATTTTTACACCAAGCGGTGAGTTTGGAAAGATGTGGGTGGGCTAAGTGATATGTAAGTAGGTATTCAAATAATGAGATTAGAAAATAAAAATATGTTCATTTTTATACACAGTTCATGTGACAAAATATAAGTTACTATAGGTAAATTATGTGTCATTATTGCCAATTACGTAATTTAAGGTGTAACCAACCATTATGCTCTATCGATAAATTAAAGTCAAATAATTTTGTATTATTATTTTATCTTATTATTTAAAGTAAAAGTAATTTAGGTTTTTTGTTGATACTATGAAAAATGACCCATCTGCAAAATCCCCAGGGTAGATAATTGCTGAGAAGTAAATGAAGCTCTCAAAGCCTTTTTTCGAGCAAAATCTTTCGTAGGCACCCAACGTATGACCTTTTTAGGATCGACCGGGCTGGTTTTCGTGCTATTATTTTTGGAATATTTTAAAAACGTTATAAATTGTCGACGGTAATTACCGACCTAGCTAAAAAGAAACTCGTTTGATAAAGTTACACTTATTTAACCTGTCCATTTTGACCCGGGCACCTTGGAATATTACCCGTTGAACGAAAAAGATATGTTGGTTTAAAACTTTGGAAACTCAATCAGAACCAAGTTGGATACTAATGGTGGAAGCTCTTATCGATCTGAAAGGGTAAGGTTTCAGAGCTTTGAGCGATTAGTTGACTAATTGGATCTTCGATTCAGTTACTGGGTACTTCTCATTTACACTCAAATTTGATGGTCACACAATAATAGTTCATAAACGGTATAAGTTAGAACAATAACTTTGAAATCAGATGATAAAATATCTATTTAGCTACATACAAAATAAATTTTATCGTAATAGAAGTAAAAATAATACGAAAAAATCACATGAAACAATAAAAAACGGGGTCATTTTTCGCGTTCTCATCGTGTCACACCTTCGGTTGCAATGAAACATTTGGTTACTGCATTCACAATTTTCATTAAATTTGTGCGTAGCATATACTAAAATCATCGTAATTAAATATACTTTCCACACAATAGTCATAAAAATATCTTCTTATAATTATTTTGAATTGAGAAAGCGAAATACGTTGGTCACACGATTTTAGGTACCTAAAATTATGAGTAATAATACAATATTGTCGCTAAACCGAACACCAGCAACCAATCACAGCGTTCTATTCGGTTAACGTCAGTCGCGCTTCGACCATTGGGAAGGTGAGATAGGTCGATCGTCCTTCCGCGAAAAAAATACGTAACTTTTTGTGATTATCCATAGACATACCGTCGCTTGCTTGAACAATATTTTCTACCTCTAAAATTTAAACAATTTAATTGAAACTTTGCCATTGAAAACTTAACATGTTAGACTTATTTGTGTAGTATTCGACTTGAACCGTTGAATTCAAATTTAAGGATAATTCATAAAAAACTAAAATTTTCGTCACCTTCGTGGCATCACCTTCGTGGTGTTTTATACACGAAGGTGATTTTAGGCCACGAAAGTGATTTCTTGCTTTGGTTAATTTTAA